GCTGCAAAAAGAAGTAATTTATAAAAGCACAAAACTAGATTATAATATCTACAAGTACTTTCAAAATATTCTGTGCTGCACTGAACAATGAAACAAACAATATTAAATCTGTGAGAAAGTGAAAATGCTTTAGATTTTTGCTTGAAACGTAAATGTGTTTAGTCAGTAGATCCAGAGGGAAGATACTGTATATATTAACATGCAAATATACATTCTTACAATCTAATATTAGAGCTGCTATAAACAGAAGCTATACAGAAGTACACCAGAGATTATTCTTCTTTCCTAATACAATTACATTCTCTGTGGGTATTTTGCTTTAAAACAAAGAAATAGGGGGCGGCAAGTTGCAGTTACACTGCAAGTATAAAATTTTTGTCYTGTTTGATTTGTAAAAAAAGAAGCAGACCAATAAAACAACATGTAACTTCTTTTAAGTAGCTAAAATAATAACATTACCATATAATCTTTCTTGTCTCTATGACTTGGAAGTGTTTTAGAAAGCCTCATGGGCCCTAGTTTGCATTTGAGAATATTACAGCACTGGCAAATAAGCTAAGCTATACAGGATTGCCCAGTATGAACAACAGGAATGATACAAATTTACTGATTTCCAATCTCTGCCCCTGTCCATTTAAGACTGTGCACATCTACATGATCAAAGCTTTCACAAAGTGCTTTGCAGCTGTGCTTCAATCATTTCAATATTTTCTAAATAAAAATGCAAAACATCCAAGTATTGTAATAAGCTTATATATGTAGATATGTACATATATGTATTCATGATCTCCAGCCAAGGTGGTCTTTTTTGTGACGTTTTGTTCCTTTGCATTTGGTTTCTCTTTTAGACTTTTTAGACCACATCTCAACATAGCACTGGCTCAAGGTGAGACGTCAAGCAACCTGAATGAACGTRATGCCTGAAGATACAAGAAAGAAGTTTGTGTTCAAAAGCTCTAGCCTGAGCTCTTTCACGTGCAGTGATTTGGAGGCTGGAGTATAAGAGGATTTTACCAGAATACATGCGAGGCTGGAAAACTGACTATTATATCCAGAGCACAGCCCGACGCCCCAGCACTGCAGATGCTCCTGGAGCTACAATAGCTTTGCTACAAGGCACAGCCACCTGCAGGGGGTTTYCAGTAAGTAAACTGATATACCAAATTGATTGTAGTTTTTATTGGGAAGACCATGAGACTCTGGAAAATTCCTCTACTCACTGGTTGCTATATACAACCAAGAAGCAATGTAATTTATATCCACGTGATTACACATGCAAAAAAAACTGCAAAAACAATCACTTTATACACTTTTCCTCAAAGAGGATAAAACACTCCTCTAGCCATGAGACAAAACAATTCTCCCAAACACAAGCAGCAGAAAATCACAACACATATTTATTCCCTCTTCAGTCAATAGTGTGTATTACTGATTAAAACCCACACAGCAGTGAGATTTAAGACCTCCCTTGTTAAAGCAGATAAATCTCCATTAGCTTTTTTTTTTGTCACAGAAGCAAATACGATTTTGATGCCTCASAGTGCTCCATCTTCTCTGTTACATCAGTACTGAAGATGATTATGTTGGATGTTGTGCCTTCCTGCAACTGGATTTACCCTCCTGAATTTCCCAGCGTATGCCAGGCAAGTGGAAAGAGCCGTACAAAGCCCCTCCCCGCCCCTGTCTCCCAGACAGTTTGTAATACGTAAGTACAAAAGTCTTCTGTCTTGGGTCTTCCTGCACTGCAGACGGCTCAGCTAGCGTTGCTTGCRCCCCTCAGATACATTCCCTGCACTGACAGTTCTGCATTTCAATGAAGAGTCTGGCAGGATTCAAACCTTTAGGCTACTTCATTGTAATCAGTGCCTGGGAATGAAGAGAGGACGAGTTGTTCCTGGCCATCACCATCATTTGTCTTTTTGTTTCTTTTCCAGGGGGAGGTTTAATGCAGAAAGACATGTTTAAGAAGGCAAACCAGTGCTCACAGGAGGTCAAATTCAGACAAACGTGAATTGTCCCGAGCTCTCTATTTTGCAGTCACCCAGAGAGCTGCTGTTACACACACATTTGCTTGTGCCAAAAGACACCAGCATGCCTTACACAATCTCCCAACTACATATTACTGTTTTCCTGGGTCATTTTATGCCTTTCACATCCAAACCGATCACGTGCACTGTGCTAGAAAACCTTAAGACTTGGAGCCAAATGCAGTCTACTAAGCATTTCCATCATCAAAAGTATCAGATTTCACTAAAAAGAAAAAAAATCCCATAGAACTAAAGCACTAATCCAGAAAAACTTCTTGGAATCCTCTATACTCACTGGTTTTGTAAAAGTTGAAGAACAACATTTGGCACATAGAATAGTATTAAGTTTTTAAAGCTGCATTTAACTCRTGACAGCATTTAACTTTCACAGGGTCCAAAAGAGTGATTCAGCAAGTGATGAGAGAGAGGCCAAGACCCGAAGCAGGTATGTATTGATAATGAAAATTACCCATCACATACAGGGGACTAGGCCTTCCTTTCAAGCACAGGGTTTCAGAATTTCCCCACGATTGGTCTGGACGTAACTATTCAGAGCTGCTTTTGAAGTGCTGGTTTTATTCTSTCGCTGAAGCTCGCACAAATGCCTGTGAGAGCCATGTCTGGCATTTGCACACTACTCTGTGGGATGTGACCATAAGGCATCTTTAAAAGAAGGGCTTACTGTAAACTTTGTAATTCAGATACGGGCAGAGCTTTAAACTCGAAAGAAAAAACCTAAAAGTTCCTAACATCAAAGACACATCAGTGATTGCTACATATGGTGCCAGAGAGGACTGTGCCCCAGTGTGATCTCCCAGCTCCAACAAATTGCCACTCAGGTGAGTGGCTTTGCTCATTCTTTGAMCTGCCATCAGGATAGGGCAATCCCTTTCCCTCCAAGTCAATAAATAAACCATTAGGCACAAATCTATATTTTTCCAGTTAWTTTTTCCTGGAAAGTACCTGTTAGGGGAATAGATTATGGGAACCAGTGCCAGCTGAGTAATCTAAGTCTCTATTTTGGCAGTTCAGCATTTTGTTGGCAGCACTGATGTTCATCCAGCAGCTTGAGAAGTTTATATGCTGCTGATTTAATCTGTATATTCTTTATGGTAGTGGCAATTTTATACTTTTGCACTCACAGCACTGTGATTGCTATTCAGACTGTGTTAACTCTTTGAGAGTCTCCTGAACCTTCTGCAGACTATGAAGTGTAGTGTGAAAATGAACAAGAGCTGGACAATCGGCAGGCGAGAAGGAAGTATTTATCACAGTACCTACARTTAGCAGCACTTTATACTACATTCCTTTGCAGAAAAAAAGCTCAGGCAGAGCCACCATTAGCTACAGATGTTTAAGTTTCAATGAGCCTTGGTTCATTCTTTTTGGTAATAACAGTTACAGTTGAGACAGCAATGAAAAAATCTACCAAACTTGTGTTGTCGCTTATCATTAGTGGATTAAAGTTTAATTTTCTTAAAATCACTTGGCTGTTGGTGGRTTTTCTGTTTGAAGGGATGCATAAAACACCTACACCTTATTTCTTCATGCTAATGAAGTAATAAATGGCCCAACCAATAATACATTAACACAACTAAGAGACAGTCCACAGGACCAAAGAAAACAGTTTTACTGATATTCACAGTAATTCAACAACGCTGAAACAATCTTCAGTTACTGAAGGAACTCTTTAAAATTTCAATAYATAAACTTCAATATCCAATCCAGTTTTGTTACAACTGGAAATCTGCTTGTCTGCATTGAGCAAAAAGGCCTGTAGGGGATTCTTGGACTGCTTCAGTGCACATCAAAATGGATTATCTTAAACCAAATTATTTTGCTGGTCCCAAGAGGCAGCGATGAGAAGGGGCAGCCCATTTCACAGGCAGCGCCGGAGCTGAGACTGACGACTCTCGCAGATGTGGAAGAGGTGAGGGGTTGCCTCTGGTGCCAGGAGCAGCAGGGGAAGGAAGGGGAGCACAGCGAGAGGAAAGCATCCACAGAGCCGCAGTCAGGCGCACCTTGGCACGCTGTTCAGAAATCAGTCAGGATTTGAACACTACATTATCCTGAACTGGCCTGAACTACTGATCTTTGCGGCAGTATCTCTTTAAAAGCCCAGAGTGGTTCCGTATCTCTAACCCTACTCCCAAGGCTGATAAGCTGCTTTGAAATTCTCCAGTCTACTGCAGGGCACATCTTAGCAATCACAAATGCTTATCCTTGACATAAATTCAAAGCAAGCAAAGAAATCCCAGCTGCCCATGAGTATTTGACCAATCCATTCCATTAAACATGACAAGCAAAATCTTAGGATATGGAATATGTTTCCCTGGCTGGAACAGATCCTCTTGCACTTTCTTCTGACTAGTAAGAATTGCCTTAAGGAACGTATGGACAAGCAAACGGCCCTACAGCAGAGCACACCTACGAAACCTGCTGTTAGTGCCCACTACTCACACAGCAGCAGCAGGAGGGCACCCGCAGCAGAGCACGCAACGGTGAGAAACCATCACTGAGTTCAACAGCTCTATGCAATGAAAACGGGTACCTCTATACAAATACATCTGCTCCTATTGATTAGAGTCCACTTAGAAAACCCAGACTCTGCAGAAGGTCTCTACCCTTTCCCTCAACTAAAACCATGGTGTTTTATTTAACTCTCAACCCAATGGGTGCATTTTTGATTCCCAAAGTTCTTACCTTTTAGATTTTCTGGGGAAATGAATGCCTTGAGACCCTAACAAGWACTCTTAGGGTCACAAAAAGTATCTAATAATGCTGAGTTACTTTTAACACTTCACCTTTAAGTTGCTACAATCCAACTGTACAGTACAGCTATCTTTGCGCAAATGTGTTAAAGGTGAAAAAAACATCTAAGAACTCCAGTAACTCTTCACGTAATAAATATCAGATTTACCATTAAGCACATTTGATAGTAATTGTATGTTTAATAAGCCTAACAATACTTACTTCAGAATAACACAGCCTGTGCCAGTAGGAGGGGCTGTCCAGAAAACCTGAATACGCGTCCTTCTCCTAGGGGTGCTCTCCGTAACAGCAACGGGGCAGTTGCTCATGAACTGTGTTTCTTCTTCATCTATAATCTAGGGAAAGACAAAGAGAAGAGAGGGAAGAGGTAAGAACATACACAGCCCCGGGGCGCTCGAATGTGTCTYGTATGTTCAGATTTTCTTTCAATGAGATTCTTTACATGGCTCTCTCCTCAGCTCAACTGGGTTTGATAAAACCACTATATAATATGCAGGCAGCCCACTAAAAGGAAAACAAAACGCCAAGATAAATACAGAAAAATGTTTCCGTTCTGTGTTGACAGAAGTGGCTGCAGACAGCCTTGCCTGTAGATCCCCATTACTGGAGCTTCATGTAAATATTTATGGACTAAGAATAATAGAAGATGCACAATTCCTTTTTTATATTATTATTACGTCAAGCTTGTTTGGACAGATGAAACATGTCAGAAAAGAAGTGTTTTTAGTTTGTTTACTCTTGTTTTTTAAAAAATAAGTTYTGTTTAAGCAGTGTTGTTTTCTACATTACATGCCTGTCAAGGCAGATGAGATGGGAGATGTGCTCATCTATAATTCAGTGACCATTATTTAGTCCTCTTTGCACATATTTTACCTTCTTATCTATAGATTGACATTTTTTTTTTTCAGTAAACAGGAGTTGCATCGTTCCCCCAGTGATACYGCCAGCAATCCCAAATATTCCTAGGAAAGCCAACAAACACACTCCTGGTTTTCCACGGCATAGCAAACCATTGACCACAGTGAATGATGAGCAGCTCTGCGTTAGCTGGTCGGTAGGTAACAGTTAATGGGTTTTCAATCCGAAGCAATTAATGATCTTCATTATTTTCACCGTTCTGTAGTACCTATGTAACCACACATAATGTAGCTACTATTTGGCTGAATTTTAGTAAATACAAAGTATTTGGAAGCACGGCAGGCAGTGCAGGTTTAAATTGGCACTGAATTGTTTCTACTTTCAGCTTGTAAGATTGAATGCACTTAACTTCAACAGTAAGAATCCCCTAATCTACAATTCCTTCTTGCACATCAGTTGTACTTATTCTGCCTATCTGAAATAAGTCTGTATTTTTAGAGTTAATATTTATCTATCAAGTGACTCCTCTTAAAATTGAATCTGAAATACCCGTGTTACGAAGTCATTAGGTCAGAGGTATGTTTGCCTTTTTCCACCAGTGACAAATTAAAACACAAAGAGAATTAAATAATTTGAAAGCTGTGATGGCACGTCAGAACGTAGCTCTTGGAGGAACGTGGTAGGACTCCACGCTACCTCACTGCTTCCTGCATCAGTCACCAAACRTCTACTGGGAAAACTTGATCATGAAAGAGTAAGTCTGCCAGAGAAGAGTTCCTCTGAAGAAAAAAAATGAAACAAACTTTCTTAAAAAGAACTCCTAATGTTGACAGAATAAAAATTCCTGAACTAGATAGGAAAACTTAAATGCCACTGGATTTGAAAGGACTTAAAATCTGCATATTCTAATGTATTTTACAAAAGTCAGGAGAAATTTCCAGATGTTAGGAATGACGTCAGACAAGTACAACCTCATCTCAAATCTGTTTGYTAAAACCAAGTTTTCCCAGGTCTATCGAGATTTGTTGCTTAAAACGAGTTCTTGGGATGATGAGGACAGGGAAATTATTCATAAGACAAAATTCCAAACGACACAGCATCTTAGTGTGGTGAATTCTATTACAGTACTCACRTGACACAGGAGAAAACAAGAGCATCCTGGCCAACTTGGCAATGAAAAAGATACATAGTCTCTGATAATACATAGATCTGATTTTTCTTTTGCATAGATGCAAGGAGAAGAACTATGAGGAAAAAGGCATGCAGACCAACATGCACATATTGCTAAATTACAGCACGCTAAATTCTCGATTATCTCTAATGGGTGGCCTTCCATTTTCAGGAATATGCTAGCAATTAACTGTATGTTAGACCAAAGTCCTAAAACAAGCACTTACTCAAGAAATCCAAGGTCTCTAAGGGGGAAATATCAGCGTGACAAACTCTTTGACTCCATTAATTCCATGGACATTAATTTTAACACTATTTAGGTCTGGGGTGTTTTTTTTTCCCCCTATTAGAATTGCAATACCACTAGACCACATATTCCCCTCAGGGAAACTAGTGTAAATCCCAAATAATGCTCTCGGAGTTAATCTGGATTTGAACAAACGGAGAGTCGAATTTGGCTGAACATGTGTACATCTCCCAGGGGGAAGTGGAGATATTAGCAGGGAGAAACTCTGGGGCTGCAGACTCTGGCTCTCCTGCATTCCTGGCATTCCTGGCGGCCGGAGGAGCAGCAGTGTTCCTGAAAAGCAGGACTGGATAACTCCTGCATCCTCAAACAGATGGATGAGCGGGTTGGTTTTCTCAGGATTGCAACAGATACAGGGAACACTTGGAGTAACAGACTTCTCTGTTTCTGATTTATAGCAATTGTTAATCAAATAAACCAAACCAGATAGTTGACCGCTCCACAGTTAAACTCATTTAGAAATTTACACCAGTATTAAAAAAAAAAAAAAAAAAAAGGGGGCAATGCTGACAAAAAAGTTAAGTACACTGAGAAGAGAGGTATCACTACAATGCTCAGGAGGAGGTGAGGCTGTACAGATTCCTGGCCCAGCTCCTGTGCGCCGCCTCAGCCGAAACTGCTGACCAGGACCTCCCGTGCCTCACACCTTATCCCAAGGACACGGGRTGACTTTCCAGCCGCAGCAGCAGCTGGGCTCTGCTGGAACAGCTGAAAGCAAAGCCCTAGGCAGAGTTCACAGGACAGCACTTTCGTGGGCACTTCTCTTCCTCTGCAAGGGGAATTCCAGAGTACCGCAAAACTTGGCCCTTTCCCAAACAACATATTACATCCATCAGTTCTAGCAAAGAAACTATATGAGGCACGGAAAGCTGCCATTCATCTCAGGACTACAAATCTCCTTTGATCTCATCTGTAACTTTCTTCAGCAAATACCGATTTTGTCGGAGAAAATTCCTCCTTTCTTGTTTCCTACTTGAATTCCCCAAAGCTTTAAAACTTTAAGACTAAGCAGTAAAGCACTAAGATCCAGAAGGGAAAGAACAAACTCTTTTTGAACTGCATTCTCTCATGAACTCCCTTAAAAAGCATCTAGCTGCTTCATGCAGCCATTGCTCCCCAACAACTCTTGCCAGAGATAGGGAATTATTTTGAGGACTGAACTCGCTCTTCTCCCCTTGGCACACRCAGATTCACAATGTGCCAGTTGACTCTTGCCCAAGAGGATGCCCTCGCACAAGCAGCCGTGTGTACAAATTAGCTGTGGTTTAGGGGACGGCAGCACAAGTCAACCGTGTGGAGGAAGGTCCCATGATTTTACCCATACTGGGTAAAATCTAGGTGCTGTTGTGTGCCCTATGCTGTGCAGGACTGAACCTTGCTCTGTTCTCCTCAGACATTACCATCCTGGGTGGGGTGGGCAACCTGAAGAAGCACCTGGTTCAGCTGGATGTATAATTCAGTCTAAACAGACTTATGTGGAGAGGAAAGTTACTGAGATCAGACTACACAGTTTAAACCCWTTAATTTCTTATTTTCTGTGACATTCAGGTGGTAGCCAAAAGCCTGAACTTGCATTTCAGAGAAATAGGGATTCATTTCTATTCTATGGGATAAATACAGTTCACAGGTGGAAGCATAAAACAAGCAGAGAAAGACAGGGTAAACTTTACGAGAACTTAGCCAAACGAAACTGTTCTCTTTTTTYCAACCACAATCTCTCCTCAAACTAAACTAAATTGAACTAAACACAGCAATGCAGATACAATCCCAGAGCAGAAAGCAGGAGAGCCAACTTTTCCCAGCTCCCTTTCCTGTAGTCTGTTTCTCACCTGCTAACCAGGGATACWGACACGGAGCTCCTTTCAAAAACAGTATATGAAAGACTCTATAAAACGTACTTCTTATTCTCCTTAAYAGCTTGTCAGACCCCAAATTAGCTGCAGATTTCATAAACAGGARTTCTCTGGGAAAAGATTGAATATGAGATGCCAGCTCCTCAGCCTGCCTGTGCTGTGCCAATAGCTCAAATGAGAGGTGAGCTGGGTCCGTGGGGCCGGCTGGGAATGGCTGGGGACTTTAGATATACAGAAGATGCAGAGTCCCAGACCCACTCCGAATCCAGCGCCTTGGCTCCCGCGACACAGACCCYGCAGCATCTGCAGAACAAGCAGCTTGCAGCCAGTCTCTTCTCTTCCTATGTRCAAAGACAGGTGGGCTCCACAGGCAGGTGAGAAAAGCCCCAAGGGTCTCCAAACTGCTGCTCTGTTTATTCTGGTGACTTCACCTCCATGCTACAAAGTCTCCGTCTGCCCTGCTGTCCTAGCAAAATATTTTACCAATTTTACAAAGCAGGGGCAGCTGAGAGGRGGAGACTGTGGGAAAACTACCCTGAAATAGCTATACTGATCTTTAGGACAGCAAAACACCCTGTTAGGAAACAAGCTGGCAATGCCTAGGCTATTTCTGCCTTTCTCCACGCAGACTGCAAGTCTTCTGCCACTTGTGACGGAGCTCTGCCTCTGAACAGAAGTGAAGCCTGGATGAAAAATCTTCCCCAGAAAACATTCACCAACGTTGATGTGTTCCACTAAAAGTGGCAATACACTGGTAGTCTTTTTTCTGGGAGAGAAGCATGGTCAAATATGGCCTTTGGCTTGACAGRGACTCCCTTATTACAAATAAATATTATTATGAACAGCAATTATGCATTTTTTAAGCAATACATCACAAAATTTGTTAGCAATGCACGAAGCAAGTGCCTTTACTAATAAGAATATCTCAACTGATGAAAGTTATTTGAAATAGTTAAAATGTGAGTCTGCAGGTTTTACTGGCTCAGCATTTCTCAGATGCTTATTCAGTTGAGGCTTTTCTTTTATCCTTCGTTTTAGAAAGCATTACACTACTCAGCATTATGAACACATTGCCAAGGAAAGCTACCTCACTTGGAGCTCCTTTAAGTTAAGAAGGGATTTAAGGATTACAGAAAATACATATTTC